GCAGGTTTCAACACACTAAGCTGCCTTTTGCTGCCGTCACAGCCACAGGAACAGACAGCTTTCAAAGGGGACAGGATAGATTCATGGCTACGAGCCGTGGTGATTAAAGGGAACCACCACAGGCACTAAAAGCCTCTGAATCCCAGTGCCAGGAGGCCACATCAGGGGAAGGTCTCAGCTTTCGGCTGACCAGAGGAACTGGTTGAGGCCACTGAGTGAGGCAGGATGCTGGACTACAGGGACCCTCACTGGTCTGACCCAGCAGGGCTCTTCTGATGAAAGGAAGAAGACAAGCTAAAAAGAAGAGGAAGCATCCAGAAGGTGCAACACTGCAAGGCCAGTGTCAAACACTGGGCTACTCAAGGGGGCAGCTGCCAGTAATTTGACAATGTTTAAGAAAGACGAGGCAGCACCCAAATACCCACCCCCACCCCGCCAAGCATGTCAAAGTCAGAAGCAGAGAGCGGGATTTCTATTCAGAGTTTTCTGGGAAGGTGACCTGCTGCAAGGCACCACACCTTCTCCTTGGGGCGGAACAGGCAGACACAGCTGGTTTTTCATGAATCACAGAATCGCAGAGTTGGAAGGGGCCCTAAATATCAGGAGAAACTTCCTAACGGTAAGGGTGGTTGAGCAGTGGAACAGTCTGCCTCGGGAGGTGGTGGAGGCTCCTTCGCTGGACATTTTCAAGTGGAGGCTGGGCGACCCTCTTTCGGGTATGTTGTAGGGCTCTATTTCGGCTCTGCAGAGTGCAGGGGTTTGGACTAGATGACCTGCAAGGTCCCTTCCAACTCTAACACTCTATGATTCTAAGGCGCTACTGGACTGGGAAAGAGAAGGCTTAGAGGGGACATAATTACAATCTTCAAGTATCTGAAGGGCTGTCGTGTAGAAGATGGAGCAGATCTATTCTCTCTTGCTCTGGATTGCAAGACTAGATCTAACGGGTGGAAATTACAAGGGAGTCGATACTGGGGAAATATGAGGAGACACTTCCTGACTGTAAGAGTGGTTGAGCAGTGGAACAGTCTGCCTCGGGAGGTGGTGGATGCTCCTTCGCTGGACATTTCCAAGTGGAGGCTGGACGACCCTCTTTCGGGTCTGTTGTAGGGCCATCTTTCGGCTGTGCTCCTGCAGAGTGCAGGGGGCTGGACTAGATGACCTGCAAGGTCCCTTCCAACTCTCACATTCTATGATTCTATCCCTGACAAATGTTTGTCCAGTTGCTGCTTGAAGGCTGCCAGTGAGGGAGAATGTTAATATATAATATTTTATATGCTGAACAGGGGGTGCACAAAAAGGAGATCAAATGGCAGAGCTGAGCAAACCTCTTGGGATCTCCTCTACTTTTCTCCAAGAGGTTTTTAGTATGATTCAGGATCCCAGCACAGTCTAAAAAAATTGCACTTTCTAACTAGTTCTCTGTCCAGCAATGCTCCCCCTAAGCTGTGGAGTCTCGTGAGCAAAAATCCTACTTTGTGAGCTGCTGGCATTAAAGTGGTGAGTGAGCGATTTGGCTCCTGCATAAATTAGTTTGCTCTGGAGCCCCATCCTTCCTGAGCCAAGACAAAAATGCATGAGCCGGAGGCTAAAAAACTGTGAGCCGGCTCACACTCACTCGGCTTTAAAGGGGAGGGACAGCGAAGCACAGCGCACACCAAACACAACCTCACTGTGGTGTAGCAGCTACAGACAGTGTGGCTGGAGTGCTGGCCTAGAATCTGGGAGACCTGAGTTCGAATTCCTGCTCTGCTGTGGAAGCCTGCTGGGAGACTTTGGGCCAGTCACGCACATTCAACCTAACCTACCTTGCAGGGTTGTTGTGAGGATAAAATGGAAGATAGGAGAACGCTGTAAGCTGCTTTGGTTCCCCATGGGGGAGAAAGGTGGGGTATAAATGAAGCAGATAAATAACATTTCAAAATTTCAAAAAAACCTTTAGAATGAAAAGCTCCCCCCCCCCTCATCATCCATTGCACAAAGAAAGAAAACTGATGAGGAAATGAAAAATGCCTTTTCTTCAAATGTATCAACTTGGGTCCAGTGTTCCCTCTAAGCCGAGTTAGTGTGAGCTAGCTCACCGTTTTTTAGACTCCAGCTCACACTCAACATCAGCATAGCAACTGGCACATTTGTATGATCGCAATGTATTTATCCAGATAGGGCCAAGAGCATAATACGGAGGTTTACATGACTGAGTCTGTGTTCAGCTATAGCCAGTGTTCCCTCTAAGCTGAGTTAGCGTGAGCTAGCTCAGTTTTTTAGCCTCCGGCTCACACATTTCTGTTTTCGCTCAGGAAGGGTGGCTCCAGAGCAAACTAATGTATGCAGTAGCCAAATCGTTCGCTCAAAACTTTAATGCCAGGAGCTCACAAAGTAGAATTTTTGCTTATGAGACTCCACAGCTTAGAGGGAACAGTGCCAAGATGGAGGATCCGGATTCCACCTCTGCCCCTGAGAACACTGACCGGATTTCCGTGGAGGGCTGACGGCCAGCCTTTTGGGGCTGCTGACCAGACCAGACCGGGGAAGGCAACTCTGGGTATAAGGTGGCACCACGGCCTTCCCTCCAAAGGCGCAAGAAATATTGTGCTTTTTGTAGTGTGCATATTGTGCCTCACAAAACAAGGAAAGGAAGTCACCTGCCTTTGCTCACCTCTGGTTCTAAGGCAGTGCCGGGGGGGGGGGATGTGCGGGGTTCAGGCAGGCAGAACCAGAAAGGTTTGGATGCTACCTTTCGTTGGACTGGAGATGCAAATAGATTTGGAGACGCACAGGACTTGGCTCCAAGCCGAGAAGCGTCTGAAAGTCAGAAGGGACTACGGTGGCCGAAGTGGACCAATTGCCTGGCTTGACACAAGACAGAGATATCTGTTCATCGGAATGACGGGAACTGAAAGGACGCACTGGGAAAACAGTGAGGCACCCGGGGCCACTCTTTGCTTCCAGAAAGCGGAAAAGCCAGAGGGGCAACTGGGCGGGCTGCTTCCGTTACTCCCAAGTCTCCATCCTGCGTTCTGACCAAGACAGAGAGCGACTGGCCAAATTCTGGGAGAGTAAAGTTATTTTGTCAAAGGACAAAATATGCAAAAGAACCCCCTCAGGAAACAGCCAATTCATACACAAAAGAACCTCCTCAGGAAAGCTCCTCCATTAGCATGTTTCACAGCCTGGGGATCTCCTACAAGATACTGACTCAGCCCGGCCCCACCTTCCTGAGTAGATATAAATTACCTGCCTACCATTTTTCTTCTCACCTCGACACAGAGAGAGTACTCCATCTTTCTGGGTTATACCTTTAAGGATGCCAGTCACAGCTGCTGGCGAAACGTCAGGTCCGACAATGCCAAGACCACGGCCAGACAACCTGGAAAATCTACAACAGCTAGTAAAGTTATTCTCGGCGGAAACCCACAGTGGTTTCTGCAGAGGTGCAACTGCTGCCCTTTGCATGACAGATCTCACAAGTTCTGGAGTGATCTCCAAACGACCGGGCGAAACACGCACTGGACCCCCTACTGCTCTTTCATAAGGGGGCTCTTCCTGCGTGCACTGAAAGCGCAGGGTGCGTCCCGGAGAGCCACACCTTTCTCTGTGGAGCATCAACACACGCTGAGAATCCAGCGGACCTGGTTTGCTAGATGAGACTTAACCAACAGCGTCAGAAATGGGGAGGAAGGTGCATTTTAACTGCCGTGCTTTTTGCACTGCTTCCCACTCACAAGAACTCGAATAGCAACCACTCGTTGGTGAACACTGGGCATCCTTTGAGGAGAGGTTATCCTGCCTGGCCTCTCTTTGCGCCCACCTATGAATCATCCCTAGGAGGCATCTTAACTCAAACCAAAGTGTGCCTACAAAGTTAAGCACGTGGCCAGATACGAACAAGAAAGGAGGCTTTGCTCCAAGATCTTGTCTTCTACGGGAGCGTTTTAAGAGCTGCCTGGTCAGTGTGGGTCACCGGGGAGCAAGAGAAGAGTTTCCGACTTCAAAATCCCAAGCCTGGCCACGGGAGGGCGCATCTGCACTGCTTGGACCCCCATGTCCCAGGGGCGAGGGGAGGCGCGCAAGATTTTTGTCGATTCTCCAATTCCCTCTCGGATTCTCCCTTCCGGAGCCAAACAGTCCTTTCAGGTCTGCTCACCAGTTCAAAGGACAAAAATGCAGAAAGCTTTTGGGTTCCCACCAGAGCACTTTGCCCACGGATGCTGCAAGACAGCGGCTGAATGCACAGAGCGAATGGGGCCCCCGGGGGGCGCGGGCGAGCCTTCGGCAACCCCAAACGACCCCGGAACGTGGAGCAGGAATAAATACAGTTTTGACAGGGCACAAACAACAGAGGAGGAGGGAAATGTCAGCCTCGTTAGTAAAAAATAATTAACATTTGACTATTCCATGTCATATAAAAATAAACATATATAAAACCAAACTGCTAGATTATGGCACTGCAGGAGTTCTGAAGAAAAGAGAAAGAAACCGGGTGTGGGGGGGTGGTCGAAGGAACATTTATACTGTGCATATCGGTCATTGTGCCAAAAGAGAGAGAAAGAGAGAGAGAGAGAGAGAGAGAGAGAGAGAGAGAGAGCAAAAACTTTGAAACACTGAGTGGAAGAAGTAAAAGGGCTAGATGGCAGGGCAGTGAAACCTGGGCAAGGTGAGGGCTGAAGTTTGGAGAAAGGGATCTACGCTCCCTCTAAGCTGTGGAGTCTTGCGAGCAAAAATTCCACTTTGTGAGCTACTGGCATTTAAGTTGTGAGTGAGCGATTTGGCTACAGCATCAATTAGTTTGCTCTGGAGCTCTCTTTCCTGAGCTAAGACAACAATGTGTGAGCCAGAGGCTAAAAGACTGTGAGCTGGCTCACACTAACTCAGCTTAGAGGGAACACTGAAGGTGGTATATTCCTTTCTGGGGTGCTGCTGAAACGGACACGTGGAGCGCACACCTGAGAGAGGAAGGGGGGCTAGGGGGATTCTTCCGCACCCTGCCTGAGGCACTTCTGTCCCCCCCCCCGGTCTCTGAACGCCCCCATGGCGCCTCCCAGTAATACGTTCCTAGGCCTCCCTGTTGCACAAACAGGTATGGAAATGACGACGGCTCCAGAGCCCGTACAGTAGATAGGGGAGCAAATGTTAAATGTGATTTTCCGCCTGCAGGGCAGGGGTGGGGGGGAAGGATTGGGTCAGCTACATCCAGGGGAGGTTTACCTGCCCTGCCTCAAGAGAGGAGAGACACAACAAAGAAGAAAGAAACCCACAGGCAGAAGAAAAAGAGGCACTGTTCGTGTGCGGAGGCCGTCCAGCTTCCGGAACCCTCGGGGGAGGGGGGGGAACCCCTCCGAAGGTCTCCCAGACGTATTCCAGTTATAGCTGCTACAGAAGAGAGTCAGTATCAACGCAAAGTCTAGCTTGCCTACTGCTTGTAGTGGTAACCTGCAGAAAGAAAAGAGAAATATTGCATCAGCCTGAGTGGCAGAGTGGTTGGAGCTAGCACCGATTTGGGACACCCAGGTCTGAACGCCCCCACTCTGCTACGGACAGTCGCTGGAGGACACTGGGCCAGTGGCGCAGTTTCAGCCTCGCCAACCTCATAGGGTTGTTGTAAGGGTGGAATAGAGAGATGAAAAAGGCTTCAAAAGGGAATTGGATAATCATCTGGAGCAGAGGTCCATCAGTGCCTATTAGCCACAAGGTATGGATAGGAACTCTCGGTCTGGGGCAAGGGATGCTCTGTATTCTTGGTGCTTGGGGGGGGGGGGACAGTGGGAGGGCTTCTAGTGTCCTGGCCCCACTGGTGGACCTCCTGATGGCCCCTGGTATTTCTGGCCCCTGTGTGACACAGAGTGTTGGACTGGAGGGGCCATTGGCCTGATCCAACACTGGCATCTCTTATGTTCTTACGTTGTAAGCTGCTTGGGGCCCATTCTGGGGAGAAGAGCTGGATAGAAACGTACATAAGCCAATGGACATTTTCAATGGACATTTCCAAGCGGAGGAGGCTGGACGACCATCTTTCGGGTCTGTTGTAGGTATGTAGGGCTCTCTTTCAGCTACGCTCCTGCAGAGTGTAGGGGGTCCCTTCCTGCTCTAACATTCTATGATTCTAAGAGCACTATGGTTAGCAAATCCCAGGGATTCTGTTTCTACATCCTGGAATCCTAAAATCCCAGAGTTGGAAGGGCCCATTCAGGCCATCTAGTCCGACCCCTCCTGCTCAATGCAGGTTCAGCCGCTGCTTCAAGACCGCCAGGGAGGGGCAGCTCACCACCTCCCCAGGCAGCCGATTCCACTGTGGCACAACTCTTGAGTGTCAACAAGTTTCCCCTAAGATCCAGCTAGTATCTTTTAACCCATAATTTAAACCGATTCTTGCGAGTCCTCTCTGCTGCCGACAGGAGAGACTCCCTGCCCTCCTCTGAGTGACGCAGCCCTTCAAACACCTCAAGAGAGCCATCCTGTCCCCCCTCGACCTCCTCTTCTCCAGACTTTACCTTCCCAAGTCCCTCGGCCTTTCCTCGGAGGGCTTCTTGGTCTCCAAGCCCCTGACCATCCTCCTCGCTCTCCTCTGCACCCGCTCCCTTCTCCCCACATCCCTTTTTGAAGTGAGGCCTCCAGAACTGGACACAAGACTCCAGGTGCGGCCCGACCAATGCAGTGTACAGCGGGACTATCATCTCCTGTCTCCTTTGGGATTCAAGCTCCGGATATCTCCTGCATGTGGATGTTTGGAGGGGGCCCGGGTGGGGCTGCCTGTATTTTAGGTCCAGTTTTGCTGCCCCAAACAAGAGGCACCCACCCTGCCTCCCGGCACCAGCCCTCTGCCAGATGTTTCCAGGCCACATCCCTCCGACACTGCTGTGGGGACGCCGCTTGGATCCTACTGGTGGGCAGCGTAGGCCCAGGAGAAAATGCTCATCACCTCACCGGCCACTGACAACCAGCTGAGCCCCTTCAGGGCATACCCCCCCCCCCCCCCCCCTCCTTTCTTAATGCAGTCTTAGGATGCATTAACAGAAGCATTGTGTCCAGATCACGGGAGGTGGTTGTTCTGCTCTATTCTGCTATGGTCAGGCCCCACCTGGAGTCCTGTGTCCAGTTTGGGGCACCACATTTGAGGAAGGATGTTGACAAGCTCGAGCGTGTCCAGAAGAGGGCAACCAGGATGGTGAGAGGGTTGGAATCCAAGTCTTACGAGGAAAGGCTGAAAGAGTTGGGTCTGTTTAGCCTGGGAAAGAAAAGGCTTAGAGGGGACATGATTGCAGTCTTCAAGTATTTGAAGGGCTGTCATGTAGAAGACGGAGCAGATCTATTCTCTCTTGCTCTGGATTGCAAGACTAGATCTGGACCGCGAGGGAGTCAATACTGGCTCAATATCAGGAGAAACTTCCTGACTGTCAGAGTGGTTGAGCAGTGGAACAGACGGCCTTGGGAGGTGGTGGATACTCCTTCGTTGGACGTTTTCAAGCGGAGGCTGGACGACCATCTTTCGGGTATGTTGTAGGGCTCTCTTTCGGCTCTGCTCCTGCAGAGTGCAGGGAGTTGGACTAGATGACCTGCAAGGTCCCTTCCAACTCTCACATTCTATGATTCTTCACCAGCTGTCCCCCTCCTCTGCTTGGGAGGCACATCTGGAGAACCAGCCTCGCCCTCTTTTCCTGCGGGAGCCGCCCAGCCCGGCTTGGGTGGTCTCAACCTCGTCCCGACAAACCTCCCACCCTTCTGGCAACTGACTGGGGAAGCGGGCATAAAAGCAGAGCTGAGAGCCACGCGGGCCGACCGACGCCAGCCTTCCACTTGGCCCCTTCCTGCTTTTGAATGCCCCCCCCCCAATCTGGCATCTCGCGCAGGAGAACTGGGACGCCTCCTCACCTTTATGAGAAGAGTCCGGCTTGGGGCTTTGATGAGCCGAGATCTGTGGGCCGGCCGGACTGCCCAGGTGGCCGAAGTCGTCCGTGGGAGGCGGTGGTGGCCTGGGGGAGGGAGAGAGACGGAGAGAACCGTTAGGGGAAAACATGAGCAGATACCACACCCCCCGGCCTCTTCCTTTTCTCATGATGGATTTAGTGGATGACACATCTCTCCTTATATATAATTGAATAGTGGGTGCCAAAGTTCTAAAATGCACTCCTTTAGTGTATGGACGCTGGCTGGGTTGACTGGCTGCTTTGTGCAGTCCCGCCCAGTGTTTCAAGGTCTTTTGCATATGGAAGCTGATTGGACTTCACTGCATTCCACACCTCAAACTCACCCCCCTCCCCGCAAGGCAGTTGGAATGTCAGTTGCATATGGAACCTTCAAGGTCTTTTGCATATGGAAGCTGATTGGACTTCACTCCATTCCACACCTCATACTCCCCCCCAGACAAGCTGTTGCCAGTCTCCAGGTGACAGCTGGAGAGATCTTAAAGCTTTGGTGCTACTTCAAAGTTCCCCAGGAGCCCAAAACAGAGTAGTGTTTTGGAAAATCTTTAGGAATTGTTTGGTGCATTTACGATGGGGCTCCTGGGGAACTATTGTTGCCAATCTTGGCCCAGCAGCCATCAAACCATTCTCTTCAACCCCCTGCTGTGCAGCTGACTTTCCCCTAGGGTTGCCAATCTCCAGGTGGGACCTGGAGATCTCCCACTGTTACAATTGATCTCCAGATGACAGAGATCAGTTCCCCTGGAGAAAATGGATGCTTTGGAGGGTAGACCCTATGACATTATACCTGCTGAGTCCTTCCGCTCCGCCCAATGCTGCCCTCTACAGAATCCACCCCCCAAACCTCCAGGTATTTCCCTCCTTAGAGCTGGCAACCCTACATTCCCCTCAGTGCCTGTTGGTAGGCAACTAAGCTTGGTCCTGTCACCTACTTTGGCCTTTGGGAGAAAACACATTGGGGCCAGTCCTGATAGGGTTGCCAACTCCAGATGGGAAATTCCTGGAGATTTGAGGGATGGAGCCTGAAGAGGGTGAGGTTTGAGGAGGGGTGGGACCTCAGACAGGTACACTGCCATAGACTCCACCCTCCAAACCAGTCAGTCCCACATAGGGAACCATTGTTGCCAATCTCCAGGTGAGGGCTGGAGAGCACTCAGTATTACAACTGCTCTGCAGAAGGGAGGGCAGAAGTCAGCTGAAGTCAAAGGGGCAGATAATGGTAGGTTGGTGGCTAGCTGGGAAGGAGATGGGGTTGCCAACTACATGCTGACAAATTCCTGGGGATTTGAGGGGTGGAGCCTGGAGAGGGTGGGGTTTGCAGAGGGGTGGGACCTCAGACAGGTAGAATGCCATAGACTACACCCTCCAAACCAGCCACTTTGTCCTGGGTAACAATTGCTGCCAATCTCCAGGTGAGGGCTACAGATCACTCACAATTACAACTGCTCTTCAGGTAGCAGAGATCAGTTCCTCTGGAGAAAACAGTGGACTCTGTCATTATACCCTGCTGAGGTTACCACAGCAAATTGACACTGTTTGCCCAAAGCCAGAGCACTCCCCCAGAGTCTCTTTCTAGATTCCGTTGTATTGCTTTCATAACGGGCTTTACTGCTAGTTTTTTATAAAGACGGATCCAGGAAGTCTTGGTCTGCAGTGGAAGAGCCACATCCGGGTCCAGGACCTCCTTAGAGACCGACAAGAGTTTTGGGGGGATGAGGTATAAAGACTCAAGGCTCCCTTGGTATCCGAGGAAGGGAGCTTTGCCTCTTGAAAGTTTACACACCCCAAAAATCTTAATGATCTCTAAGATGCTACCAGACTTGAATTCGGCTCTTTTTCATGAACAAACACTCTTAACAGTTAAGTAAATAAGCAAACAGATGGGAAAAGAAGAGGAGATTGGATTTACACCCTGCCCTTCACTCTGAGCCTCAGAGCGGCTTACAATCTCCTTTCCCTTCCCTTCCCCACAACAGATAGACACCCTGTGAGGTAGGCGGGGCTGAGAGAATTCTAACAGAAACTGCTCTTTCAAGGACAGCTGTTATCAGAACTACGTCTTGCCCCAGGTCATCCAACAGGTGCAAGCGGAGGAGGAGTGGGGAATCAACCCCAGTTTGGTGCAGTGGTTTACTGCGCAGACTCTAATCTGGGAAAACCGGCTTTGATTCCCCCACTCTTCCACTTGCACCTGCTGGATGACCTTGGGCAAGCCGTAGTTCTGACAAGAGCTGTTCTTGAAAAAGAACAGTTTCCGTCTTGAAAAAAAGCTCTCTCAGCCCTGCCTACTTCACAGGATGTCTGTTGTGGGGAGGGGAAGGGAAAGGAGATTGTGAGCCGCTTTGAGACTCCTTTGGGTAGTGAAGGGCAGGGTAGAAATCCAATCTCTTCTTCTTTTAATCTGGGAGAACCGGGTTTGATTCCCCCACTCCTCCACTTGCACCTGGCTGGATGACCTTGGGCAAGCCACAGTTCTGATAAGAGCTGTCCTTGAAAAAGAGCAGTTCCTGTCAGAGCTCTCTCAGCCCCGCCGACCTCCCAGGGTGTCTGTTGTGAGGAGGGGAAGGGAAAGGAGTTTGTCAGCCACTCTGAGACTCCCTTGGGTAGTGAAGGGCAGGGTATAAATCCAATCTTTTCTTCTTCTTCTTGCCAGATCCAGATTTGGAGATTCCTGGAGATATGGGGGTGGAACCTGGGGAGGGCAGGGTTTGGAGATTGAAGGAAGCTCAGTGGGGTATAATGCCAGAGAGTTCACCTCTGTTTCCTCTAGAGGAACCGTAGTCTTGAGATCACTTGTAATTCTAGGAGAGCTCCAGAACCCAACTTTGAGGTTGGTAACACTAATCCAAAAACATCTGCACAGAAAGAACGGCCTCTTGTCCTCTGGGGTATAAAAACCAATCTCCTTCTTCGCCTGTCGGAGGAGTTTGGTGTAGTGGTGGAGGGCCAGTTTGGTGTAGTGGTTAAGTGCGCAGACTCTAATCTAGGAGAACGGGGTTTGATTCCCCACTCCTCCACATGCAGCTGCTGGTGTGACCTTGGGCCAGTCACAAGTTCTCTCAGGAGCAGTCCTCGAAAGAGCTCTCTCAGCCCCACCTACCTCACAGGGTGTCTGTTGTGAGGAGGGCAAGGGAAAAGAGTTTGTGAGACGCTCTGAGACTCCTTCGGGTAGTGAAGGGCCATGGGGTATAAATCCAATTTCCTCTTCTGCTTTGTGGAAGAACAGCGACCCAAAGCCTAAAGGCTGCTTTGCTCGGGTTACCAACCTCCAGGTGGGGTCTGGAGATCTCCTGGGGTTATAACTGATCTCCAGGCAACACTTATCAGTTCTGCTGGAGAAAATGGTGGGTTGACTTTACGTCCTTTTAGCCCACTGAGCGACACCCTCCCAAATCTCCAGGAATCTTCCAGCACTGAGTTGGCAGCCCTGTTCTTCAGCCTTGGGCCTAGGATCGTGACAAGTTCAGACACACCTTTAATATACGAGCGCGACGGCATATAAGGAAAACATATATAAAATGTTTTTCAGGTGGCATTGGACCCCTGCTAAAGTTGCTAAATGCTTCCCGAAAGCATCAAATATCTGTTGGAGATGCGGCAGGAATATAGGATCATACCTGTCCTCCACATTTGGTGGAGGTGTGACAAAATACAAAACTTTTGGGGGGGAAATCAATAAAATATTTTCAGATATATTTAAAATCAACATGCCATTAACACCAGAAACGTATTTGTTAAATATGATCCCGGATACAATAAAGGACCACAACCATAGTTTATTAACAGCAGCAAGAATTATGATAGCTAAGCGTTGGACGTCTAAAGTCATACCATCTATAAGAGAACTTAAACACAAAATTCTGGAAATAGCTGAAATGGACAAACTGAGCATAGCGTTAAGGAACAAACCAGAGGACCTTTCTTGGGACAGATGGGAAATAATTTATACATAGCTGAACCTGAAGAAGATATAGTAGAACTGAGATTAAGCTAGTAAAAGATATTGGACGACAAAAGAGAAGGATGAATTTCATATTAAGAACTGTATAAGTATTACATAGATATCTGTACATATTTTTGTGAAATGAAAACTGGGGGGGGGCACACATTTACCAGCCTTGGGGGAGCAACGTTCTGGTGCAAGCCAGAAACATAGACCCACCCAATGTTTTACCCCAGCCTAGTCAGCCGGGGGCCTCTGGGGGAGGAAGGTGTCCATGGAACCTCTCCAACTCTTACCGTGTCGGTTTGTCGCTCCTGTGCCTGTGACCTTCGTGACCTTCTCTGGTCCTCGGGTGCACCAACTCATGTGTATCGTGCTGGGCAGAGAGAAGAGAGGAGGACATTTAAGTTCACTGTGATCAGTCGGAGGACCAACAAGGACCCTATCGACATACGACTGTAAGAGAAGCCAGTGCTGGATCAGGCCAATGGCCCCTCCAGTCCAACACTCTGTGTCACACAGTGGCCAGAAATACCAGGGGCCCTCAGGAGGTACACCAGCAGGGCCAGGACACTAGAAGTCCCCCCACTGTTGCCCCCCACCCTCAAGCACCGTGAATACAGAGGATCCCTGGCCCCAGACTGAGAGTTCCTATCTATACCTTCCACTGCTCAACCACTCTGACAGTCAGGAAGTTTCTCCTGATATTTAGCCGGTAACGACTCCCTTGTAATTTCCACCCATTAGATCTAGTCTTGCAATCTGGAGCAAGAGAGAGAATAGACCTGCTCCATCTACTACATGACAGCCCTTAGATACTTGAAGACTGCAATCATGTCCCCTCTAAGCCTTCTCTTTCCCAGGCTAAACAGACCCAACTCTTTCAGCCTTTCCTCATAAGACCTGGATTCCAACCCTCTCACCCTCCTGGTTGCCCTCTTCTGGACACGCTTGAGCTGGTCAACATCCTTCCTAAAATGTGGTGCCCAAAACTGGACACAGGACTCCAGGGGAGGCCTGGAGATGCTAACGGCCTCCCTCAACCACAAATACCAGCCCCCAGTGAACAAGAGAGGCAGCACCAACGGGGCCGGCGTGGGGCCATCCCAGGCACAAGCTAACAGCCTCCCTGCAGGGCAAGTGGGCAGCCGGCAGCCCACCTCACTAGCCAGGGGCTTCACCCACCTACCTTCCAGTCCTGGTCCTGCCTCCTCTTGTCCAAAGACGGCTTCTCTCGCTCCTTGGCTTTTCTGTACGCCGCCTTCTCCTCCGCCATCAGGAGGCGAGCGATTTCCTGAAGAAACACACAAATGGGGGTTGCTGCTTTGAAGGAAAGGGCGCTCGGCCACCGCCGTGGGCGTTGGGACCCAGGCAAAGAGAGCCGGATGAAGAATGGCCAGGCCAGGAGTGGCATATGCAAATAAGTTATGCTGGGGTCCCTCCTACTTGTCTTAAAGAGCCAGTTTGGTGTCGTGGTTAAGTGCGCGGTCTCTAATCTGAGAGAACCAGGTTTGATTCCCCACTCCTCCACTTGGAACTGCTGGATGACCTTGGGCAAGCCACAGTTCTGATAAGAGCTGTTCTTGAAAAAGAGCCGTTTCTGTCAGAGCTCTCTCAGCCCCACCTGCCTCACAGGGCCTCTGTTGTGGGGAGGGGAAGGGAGAGGAGTTTGTAAGCCGCTCTGAGACTCCCTTTGGGTAGTGAAGGGGGGGGATAAATCCAATCTCCTCCTCCTCCGCCTCCTCTTCTTCTTCTTCCTCCACTCGCACCTAGCTGGATGACCTTGGGCAAGCCGTAGCTCTGATAAGAGCTGTTCTTGAAAAAGAGCCGTTTAGACAAGGAGCAACCTTAGCTCTCTGGACCTGCCCCCTCCCCTCCCGTCTACTGAAAACTCTCTTGGGAGCTCCCTGTCTGCACACACAAGTCCCATGTAGAGAAAGATCCCTGGGGGACTGTCCCGTGTAGGGTTGCCAGCCTCCAGGTGAGGCCTGGAGGTAGTTAGTTTTATGATTGCGGTCTTAAGACCAACAGACAGAGTAAGCACAATACGGGAGGGAGAGAAAACCAGTCGTAATATACAAAAATAGAAATCTGAATTGAAGAACTTTTAAAATGCGATTCCCGCAATCTAAGAATGAATGCGCAAAACTCAGCGACTGAATGTGTCATCTCTGCGTGCTTCTCTGATAGGGGCCAGTGAAGCCTTGCTTTCTTGGTGTTAATGTGCCCAGGTGTCCTGTCGACTAATGGGGTGGTAATTTTAAGACGAGCCTCCTTGTAAAATGGACTGCTGAAGAACATAGAGGAATTTCAGACAGACGATATAATCTGGAAGAGGAACGGTTCCCAAACGGTTTCAGGTCTGTCATTTCAGACAGAACCGTTTTAGAACGGGTTCCCTACCAGAATATATTTGTAATTTCACACACAAACGCTTCTGTCCCATTTAGGAAACGGGGCTGAAGCGTTTTACCTGTCAACCGCTTCCAAGTAGTCTTCAGTTTCCTCTCCCAGTTCCGATGCGCTTTTTCCTGCCGTTTACTTTATAGCGCTATAGCGCTTTAACAGAACAGCAGTATATCAACGCCATTGGATTGGCTGGAGTGTTTTGTTGTAGTGCTATAGCGCTATAAAGCAAACTTCTTTTTTTTTTTTTAAGCCGGAGATTGCCCACGCGGGTGAAAAACGGTGGGGTTTTTGATCCATGACAGATCAAAAACGCCTTCAAAACGGGTTAAAAAAGGTAATGTGAAATTCCTCATATGCTCTACCGATTCGACCTCACTTAAAAGGCATGGGCATAGCCTTTCAGAGTAGGGGTTTTTATTGTACCTGCCTTGAATAACCACAGATGGAAAGGCAGAACATCTAGCTAGGGCAAATGCCCTCCTGGAATTCTTTCCCTCCACTGAAGTCAAATATACTGCCGGCTCAATGGTGCTTTTGATATTTAACAACACCCCGAGTTTGGAAGCCTTAGAGATGTCAGATTGTTGCTCAGTATCCTCAACTCTTTGTTTAATTAGCCCTCTGGCTTGTTCAAATCCATAGGATAAGAGTAGCTGAGGTGAAAAGCCAATTCTATGAATATGATAATGGATTGGAAATCATCCTGGAATATCAGGGGAAGCAGGCCTTGTGGGCTGAAATGACCTTTCAGCCACCTATAGATGGACAGAATACATACCCCAGCTTCAATTCTAAGACTCCCAGACTCTCGTCATATCCAAGCATTGGATACACACTTAGGAGAGGCCTGGAGGTATCCCAGAGTTAGAACTGCTCTCTAGAATACGGAGGTCAGATCCCCCAGAGAAAACAGTTGCTTTGGAGGAGGGACCCCGTGGCATCGTACCCCTCCCCTCCCAGGCTCCACCCTTAAATCTCCAGGAATTTCCCAACCTGGAGCTGGCAACCCCAGTTCTTTGTCTTAAGAGACGTGCCAGAGTGCAAGCCCGCGTCTCTCGTGAAAGCCCTGCCGGACCGCTCTGCGCACCTGAGCAGGGCACGCATCCTGAAGCATTCAGCTCAGAAGGAGTTTCAGAATCTATTTTATCCGCCCGCCCCCCCACACACCACCAGTCTTATTTTGGGCACGGTTTTCTATGGCAACCCGCCAGCAGCCTGGAACCTGCAGGGGAAGCTAGAAATCCTTATAAATAAAGCAGCTAATTTGTCACATGCATGAGCTTCCCGGTTTCTTCCCTAGAGACACAAGGTTTATAAGATTATACATGGGATAGAGCAGGTCAAGAAAGAAGTACTTTTCTCCCTTCCTCACAATACAAGAACTCCCTGTGGGCACTCCATGAAACTGCTGAGCGGTCGGGTTAGAACGGATAAAAGGAAGCACTTCTTCACCCAAAGAGTGATGAACATGTGGAATTCACTGCCACAGGAGGTGGTGGCGGCTGCAAGCATGGACGGCTTCAAAAGGGAATTAGATATGCATATGGAGCAGAGGTCCATCAGTGGCTATTAGCCACAAGGTATAGATAGGGACTCTGGGGCAAGTGATGCTCTGTCGTCTTGGTGCTTGGGGGGGGGTCAACAGTGGGAGGGGGCTTCTAATGTCCTGGTCCCACTGGTGGACCTCCTGATGGTATTTCTGGCCACTGTGTGACACAGAGTGTTGGACTGGATGGGCTTTTGGCCTGATCCAGCATTGTTCATATAAGAGGGAATTAGATAAGCATATGGAGCAGAGGTCCATCAGTGGCTATTAGCCACAAGGTATAGATAAGAGCTCTCGGTCTGGGGCAAGGGGTGCTCTGGATTCTTGGTACGTGGGGGGGGGCAACAGTGAGAGGGCTTCTAGTGTCCTGGCCCCACTGCTGGACCTCCTGATGGCACCTGGTATTTTTGGCCCCTGTGTGACACAGAGTGTTGAACTGGATGTTCCACTGGCCTGATCCCTCCCCACAACAGACACACTGTGATGGAGGCAGGGCTGAGAGAGCTCTGACAGAAACTGCTTTTTTTCAAGAACAGCTCTGAACAGAACTATGGCTTGCCCAAGGTCATCCGGCAGGTGCAAGTGGAGGAGTGGGGAATCAAACCCGGTTCTTCCAGATTAGAGTCAGCGCACTTAACCACTACACCAAACTGGAATCTCAAAGTGGCTTACAATCTCCTCCCCCCCCCCCACAACAGACACCCTGTGAGGTAGGCGAGGCTGAGAGAGCTCTTTCTAGGACTGCTCATGAGAGATCAGCTCTGAGAGAACTTGTGACTGACCCAAGGTCACACCACCAGAAGGAAGAACAAGCGCAGAAGCGGAAGCAGCGTGAGCTCCTGCAAACCCCCATGCCCTCCCGCTCTCCTCCCCCTTCCTCCACATGTCCCCCCCCCTTCAATGCCTACCTCGTCCTGGGCCACCTGGGCCGCCCTCTTGTCCACGTGGCTGGCCTGGAGCAAACAAACACAGAAAGTCCAGGGTTAACATCAGAGGGGCTGTGGGCAGCACCAGCTAGGGGGCGGGGTGGTGGTGGTGTGCCTGTTCACGCCTATCGGCATCCAACGCCGTCTTTGTATGCTCCAGGGTCTTGACTACAGAAGACAGATTCAAGGACGAATAAAGACTTACCATGGGGCTTACTAATTCTGACACCGCCAAAACTTCATGAATTGTGGGAGCTGGGAGAGCCGGCAGAGGAGGGCTTGGCACTGGGGGGGGCAGCTGGTTCAACAGGCTTTGCAGAATAAGACTAAGCAACACGCACAAGGCTCTGGCCGGGCTCCGGGACACAGAGTTGTCTCAGCAGGCCAAGCTTGGTGCGTGCCAAGGCTAGAATGACATTGCCCGCTTTTCTAGATGTCAGGATCCTTAGTCAGGTCACACCACACAGGGCTTCATAAGAAGATAACTGTTTATTTGGAGTTCCAGTACTAAAGAACACGTGTACAGCTTGTGTCAGGAATGGCCGTCAGTATAAGGGCTTCAGACTTATAGTAAAATCAAACATCCCCCCTTGTGGGAGCAAGCCAATGGTTACAGTTTGCGTGGGCGGAAGCAAGCGGGCAAAGTGCAAAAGCCGTTAACTTTCCCAGTGGAGTTAATTGCAGCTGGAGACAGCAAGGTCAAGCCTGAGATAGCGCACATAAGCAGAGCAGGGGAGAGCTGGGGATGAGGAGGAGGCCTCCCCTACACATTCCAGATCTATGACAGGGCTACGTGACATCAGAGAGCTTCCATTTGTCCTGCCACCAAAGACTTAGAGTCTGTGCATGTGGAAAGTGTTGTTAAACATTAAGTGGGGAACAAAAAAGTTTAAAGAAAAAAGAGATGCTGCTGTTTCCTGATGTTTACACTAGCAAATTTCATTTATGCTCTTGTATGCATAAATGTATAAAAGTGTTGGATCCCCAAGCATCGAGAATAAATGCGGTGGCTCAAGTGGTTATGACGCTGAACTGCAGGCTGTGGAAGGTCGGTAGTTCAGCAGTTCGAGACCCGAGTGTGCCGCATGACGGAGTGAGCTCCCGTGTCTAGTTCCAACTCCTGCCAACCTAGCCGTTCGAAAGCAAGAAATTGCAAGTAGATAAATAGGTACCACTCCGGTGGGAAGGTAACAGCGTTCCGTGCACCTTGGCGTTTAGTCATGCCGGCCACATGACCACGGAAACATCTTTGGACAGCGCTGGCTCTTCAGCTTGGAAACGGAGATGAGCACCGCAACCCTAGAGTCGGACTCGACTGGCTTTCGAGCAAGGGAGACCTTTACCTTTACTATGCCTCTGTATATAGTCAGATTTTCTGGGACTGATGATAAAAGCGACACCATGACTGTTCACCTTCAACGTTAAAAGCATTAATTGTTTAAAAAGCTAACTCTGTAAGCATGTATGACCTTCGTCTCTTGGGTTTTTAGTGGTTCTCTTTACGTTCGCCCATAGTTTATAGATCCCCTTCCCTTGATTTCTTGTAGCTTATTTAGAAAATGCAATAAAAAATTCAGCCCTTTTGGGGCTGGTAAAAGAAAAAGAAAAAAGAAAGAAAGTGTTGTTAAGATGCAGCCGACGTATGGTGGTCCCATAAGGTGCTCAAGGCAAGAGACAAACAGAGGTGGGTTTGCCCTTGCCTGCCTCTGCGTAGCAACCCTGGGCTTCCTTGGTTCTTACAGACTGAGGGCGGTGGCTTCCTTGAGTGAGGCAATCCATCTCACGTTGATCCTTCTCATGAGTTAATCCATCTCATCACAGCTGATTTATGGCGACCCCAGCCATCCAGGTAAAGGCAAGAGACGTTCAGAGGTGACCGGCCTCTGCCTGCCTCTGCGTAGCAACCCTGGGCTTCCTTGGTGGCCTCCCATCCAAGTACTCACCAGGGCCAAATGCTTAGCTGCTGAGATCTGACAAGATTGGGCCAGCCTGAGCCATCCAGGTCAAGGCAAGAGACGTTCAGAGGTGACTGGCCATTGCCTGCCTCTGCGTAGCAACCCTGGGCTTCCTTGGTGGCCTCCCATCCAAGTACTCACCAGGGCCAAATGCTTAGCTGCTGAGATCTGACAAGATTGGGCCAGCCTGAGCCAGCCAGGTCAAGGCAAGAGACGTTCAGAGGTGACCGGCCTCTGCCTGCCTCTGCGTAGCGCTCCCCTTCTCCGAGGTAGACCCAGGTTCCGGGAACAATCCCTTGTCAAACAGACTCTCACGTAATCCGCTCCCCCGACGGGAGTACACCTCACGGGTGCCTTGGGTGTTGTACATAGTCCAATCATCCTGCTGGTGAGTCTTCCGCGGACCCCATTGCGAAGGGGTCGGAGGCGGCCAAGACAGATGTGCAGGCAGGCGGGGAATCGTTCCCCCCACGGCACCCTCCACCGAGGCTGCAGTCGTGAACACCAAAGACGCGGAGGTTTGTGGGCCCGATCCTGAGTCCCCCTCCGTGTTATGTAGGTTTCCCTCAGTTCCGCTCATGATCTTGCCAGATTCGGAACGATAGGAGAAAGGGAGTTCTAACAATATGTTGGATCCCCAAGCATCGAGAATAAATCCACGTTTTAAAGAAAAGCAAAATTTATTTCAAAGCGTTGAAGACATACTCAAACACGTTCTTTGTTAGAACTGGGGATACACAGTTAGGTCAAGCATAATAAAGGAACTTCAAACAGATACAGATCCAATGAATATCTTTCCCGCTGGCGGGCTAAGGAAACGGTTGCGCGCCCAGTACATGGGAACCAGGCAGAACATCAGACAAAACACAGGTGCAGTAGTCCTGGGAAAATCAATAGGCAAGCATTACAGCATCTTCTCCCCCACACAACCTCCAGCAGTTATCTTTTGCATTCCAAAGCAGGAGCAGGATGATAGAAGCCAAGCCGGGTGTAACAGGGAAAGGATATGTACACAGAGGTCACAGAAAACAGAATGGCAGCTTGCTGACAAAAAGCTGCGGTGGCTCAAGTGGTTATGACGCTGAACTGCAGGCTGCGGAAGGTCAGTAGTTCAGCAGTTCGAGACCCAAGTGTGCCGCATGACGGAGTGAGCTCCCGTCTCTAGTTCCAACTCCTGCCAACCTAGCAGTTGGAAAGCAAGAAATTGCAAGTAGATAAATAGGTACCACTCCGGTGGGAAGGGAACCAGCCAGTTCAAGGCAAGAGACGTTTAGAGGTGGGTTTGCCCTTGCCTGCCTCTGCGTAGCAACCCTGGGCTTCCTTGGTGGCCTCCTATCCAAGTACTCACCAGGGACAAATGCTTAGCTGCTGAGATCTGACAAGATTGGGCCAGCCTGAGCCAGCCAGGTCAAGGCAAGAGACGTTCAGAGGTGACTGGCCATTGCCTGCCTCTGCGTAGCAACCCTGGGCTTCCTTGGTGGCCTCCCATCCAAGTACTCACCAGGGCTGACCCTGCTTAGCTTCCGAGATCTGAGGAGATCAGGCTGGCCTGGGCCGCCCTAGTCAAGTCACTCCCTTGATTAGGACCAATCACATAAACAGAAACATTTGCGCTTTATCTACTGAAATGCGGCAGCCAGGCTGTCGGTGGGTCTCACTAGACGGGGCCACGTCCAGCCTGTGCTGAAGGCGCTGCACTGGCTGCCTATAGCGTACCGGATTCGCTTCAAAGTGCTGGTTCTTACCTATAAAGCCCTTGATGGCCAGGGTCCAGCGTACCTAAGGGACCGCCTTTCCCCACATGTTCCCCCAAGAGCACTACGGTCGGGGGCGCAGCACCTATTGGTGGTTCCAGGCCCCAAGGACATCTAGCTGGCCGCAACCAGGGCCAGGGCTTTCTCGGCGGTGGCTCCTGTCTGGTGGAACGAGCTCCCAGAGACGATCCGGGCCCTGCGGGACTTAGCACAGTTCCACAGGGCCTGTAAGATGGAGCTCTTCTGCCAGGCCTTTGCATAGGAGCTGCCGCCGCCACTGGGCCACCACCGAGTTGCCACCTTCGACGGTGGATTAGACCTATAAGTGAGCCGGCCCTGGGAAGACGCCCAGATGACCGAACAACTTACATTGTCAGGCTAGGTTGATAAATGGAACCCATCTTGGAGTAATAAGACTTAACATCAAGAGCACCGCACTTTATTTATTGATTGTTTTTATGCTGTTTTAATTGTTATGGCATTTGCCTCTGTTGTTAGCCGCCCTGAGCCCATTTGGGGAGGGTGGGATATAAATCAAATAAACAAACAAACAAACAAACAAATAAATAAACCCTCAATCTTAGGAAGAGCTCTAGAGAATTTAAACACTGGCATGAAAATATGTTGTCGAAGGCTATCACGGTCGGAGTTCATTAGCTGTTGCAGATTTTCCGGGCTGTCTGGCCGTGGTCTTGGCATTGTAGGACCTGCAGTACACATTGTAGTATCTGTAGTATGCGTCGTTCAGGTACTACAGTGCCAAGACCACGGCCAGACAGCCTGGAAAATCTACAACAACTTGCACGAAAGTTTGTTCTACGTCATATGGTCTTCATACAAGGCATCCCAGGCTTTCTTGCTTTGGGGATTTGTCTGGGGACCATGAAGAAAGATTAAAGTGCTTGGGGCTCTTTAGCTTGGAGAAACGACGGCTGAGGGGTGACATGACTGAGGTTTATAAGATTATGGATAAGAAAGAGCAGGTAGAGAAAGAAGTCCTTTTCTCCCTTTCTCACAATACAAGAACTCCTTGTAGGCACTCCATGAATTTGCTGAGCGGTTGGGTTAGAATGGATAAGAGGAAGTCCTTCCTCACCCGAAGAGTGATTAACACATGGAATTCCCTGCCACAGGAAGTGGTGGCGGCTACAAGCATGGACGGCTTCAAGAGGGAACTGGATAAACATATGGAGCAGAGGTCCATCAGTGGCTATTAGCCACAAGGTATAGGTAGGAACTCTCAGGCTGGGGCAAGTGATGCTCTGTATTCTTGGTGCTTGGGGGGCGGGCAACAGTGGGAGGGCTTCTAGTGTCCTGGCCCCACTGCTGGACCTCCTGATGGCACCTGGTATTTTTGGCCACTGTGTGACACAGAGTGTTGGACTGGATGGGCCATTGGCCTGATCCAACATTGGCTTCTCTTATGTTCTTATGGATAAACACATGGAGCAGAGGTCCATCAGTGACTATTAGCCACAAGGTATAGATAGGAACTCTGGGTCTGGGGCAAAGGATGCTCTGTATTCTTGGTGCTGGGGGGGGGGCAACAGTGGGAGGGCTTCTGGTGTCCTGGCCCCACTGCTGGACCTCCTGATGGCCCCTGGTATTTCTGGCCACTGTGTGACAGAGTGTTGGACTAGATGGGCCATTGGCCTGATCCAACACTGGATTCTCTTATGTTCTTAAGAGTGTTTACAAGCTTTGATGTGTTATGGGTTTCCATGAGTAAGTGTCTTCCCACGTAGAAGCGAACCCACGACAGCAGGCAGGCTCAAGCACAAATATAATTTCAGGTGGGCAGCTGCGCTGGACTACTGCAGAAGCGCTCAGCACCACAAGCAGCGTGTCGAGCCAATTTCCAGGCCAAGCAGCTGGGAGCACGCCTTGTGAGACTCCCACTTGTCACAGGGGGGTGCCGAAATACGTGCAGCGATTGGTTCTTCTGCGTTTGGAGCTTGAAGAGCCCCCCCCCGCGCCTCCCTCTCCCCCCTCCCCGCAAACCCTCCTCCGTCCTGCTCAGCAGCAGCTCTTCCTCTTGCATCTTCCGGGCAATCTCCGCATCATAGAACTCCAGGTCCTGGCCAGCCACGCGGGGTTTCTGGTAAGCGGCTTCTTTCGCGCCTTTCGATTTTGTGCCTGCAGAACCAGGAGGCAGGCAGTCAGACTCGTCATCCTAATATCCCCAGTCACAGCCCCACGGAACCCAAAGTGTGCTCATGCCCCAAATTTGTCTGCAAGGCATCCGATTCCTGGGGCCTGTAAAAGGCTAGGAGCGGTGCCGAGCATCAGGGACACACACACACCCTGCCCATGACCAGACAAGCCCTCGGGGCCCCGCCTTCACTCCCAACGACTGGAACAGCAGCCACGCCCCTCCGGATCCAGCGATTTCGCCAGGAGAGCGGGTGCAGTTCAGTGGTCCGTGTCAGACTAGGAGTCGGGGGACCCAGGTTCAGATCCCCCCCTCTTTTATTTATTTATAGAACTGAAGCAAAGCGTAACTGTTAGGAGGACACATTAAAATGATACAATTTTTTTTCTGGTATAAAAAGCTTTGGAACATATACATAATGGGAAAAGCCTCAGACATTCTGAAACAAAACAAACCTAAAAGTGAACACGATGGTATTACAAGTTTATGGTCTCCCATATTAGCACATCTAACCACTAAAGGAACAATACCTGATGCAATAAATACTCTTCGCCTCATTTAGTGGTCTCAAAAGGTATTACAGACATACTGTACAGACAGCATGTAATGGAAAGTGTCACTCTTTAGACTTTTTAGATTAGAGTCTAAGCTCTCATGTCATAAGAAGAAGAGATTGGATTTATCCCCCACCCTTCACTACCCAAAGGTGTCTCAGAGCAGCTTACAAACTCCTTTCCCTTCCCCTCCCCACAACAAACACCCTGTGAGGTCGGTGGGGCTGAGAGAGCTCTTGACAGAAGCTGCTCTTTTTCAAGGACAGCTCTTATCAGAACTATGGCTTGCCCAAGGTCATCCAGCCAGGTGCAAGTGGAGGGGTGGGGAATCAAACCTGGTTCTCCGAGATTAGAGTCCATGCACTTAACGACTACACCAGACTGGCATAGGGTTTGACTTGTAAGACATTGGAAAAAAGCATCCTTCGACTAGACTATATAGAGCTATATTTATTTGTATGTATAAAATAATATATGCAGGCTATATGTACACGCCTATCCTGCTGTTAATCTTGTTGTTAATGCAAAATGAATAAAACCATGTTGGGAAGGGGGAAAAACATTATACAACAGGATCCAACCCACCGCAAACCATACACAGTAGTACAGATCGCGGTCCCCAGTAATTTCTCCAAGTAACTCTGTGAAGCCTTTGGTACAGTGCAAGTCTGTTGCCTGCACGGAAAAGCCCTCTCGAATAATTCAGTTTTGCATCGTTTGTAGAAAGCTGGGGGATGGGGAATTCCTCAGACAAGCCATCCCAAAGAAGAAGAGATCGGATTCATACCCTGCCCTTCACTAACCAAGTCTCATATCGGCTTCCAATCTCCTTTCCCTTCCCTGCCCCACTACAGACACCCTGTGAGGTAGGTGGGGCTGAGAGAGCTCTTTCGAGGACTGCTCCTGAGAGAACCGTTCTGAGAGAGTGACTGACCCAAGGTCACACCAGCAGCTGCACATGGAGGAGTGGGGAATCAAACCCGGTTCTCCCAGATTAGAGTCCGCACTCTTAACCACCTCACCGAATGGAGAAGGCACATGTACAGGTAGTTGTTGGCTCTGCCCATCTGCAGGAAGCTCGCTGGGTGACCTTGAGTCAGTCACAGGTATTCAACCAGGCTACCTTACAGGGTTGCTGTGATAAAAAAGAGGAGAGGAGAATGTTGTAAGCCACTCCAGGGCCCCAGTGGGGAGAAAGGAAGGGTATAAATGTAGCAAAGGAATTAATTAAATTATGGGCTTGACTTTGTAAGCGTTTGACTTTTAAAACAAAGCTAGAGGCTTGGGCTTCCAGGCATGAAGGCGAAGTGTGCTAAGTGCATGGCCAGGTTATCTGCTGCCATCCTCAGAGCCCAAGGGGAGTAGCCCCCCGCGCCGACTCTGCAGACAACTGCCCCAAGGTGCCGTGTGCTGGCATCCTCTGGTCCGTGTCAACTGGCATCAGCCCCCGCTGCTGCAGAACGCCACCCCCAATGAGAAAGGTGCATGCTGGAATGGAAGAGAAAGATGCCTCCTCCACCCCTGGGATTTCAGATGCACGAAAACAACCCACCCCGAGGTAGACGAGTGCCAGTTCTTCAGCATTTACAGAGCACCTTGCAACTGGCACGATGACTCACTCCCTCTGCCCTCACATCCACCCAAGCCTCATTATCCTCCTCTTACAGACGGGCCACACGCTGAGTCAGAAGCAGAGGCGAGGCTCAGCGGCAGGTCTCCTCTAGACACCAAACCACGGCTGAAGCTGCAAGGAGAGAAAACCCGACCTCTGCCACGGGGTGTGCATGTGCGCACATGCACGCACACATGCACACACAACCAGCCTGCTACACCAACAACCCTTTGTGATGGGTAGGGACATGTTCCCTCTAAGCTGTGGAGTCTTGTGAACAAAAATTCTACTTTGTGAGCTCCTGGCATGAAAGTTGTGAGCGAGCGATTTGGCTACTGCATAAATTGGTTTGCTCTGGAGCCATCCTTCCTGAGCCGAGACAAAAATTGTGTGATCCAGAGGCTAAAAAACTGTGAGCCGGCTCACACTAACTCAGCTTAGAGGGAACACTGGCAGGGAGAGACTGCAGCTCCCCTTCCGCACCCACAAGTTTAAGCCCTTCCTCTCAGGTTTGCAGCCTCTGACACGGGATGGACAACCCGCACAAAATGTTATCAACAAGGAAGGAAGCCTCCCTCTGCCTGTACGGACTTCCAGAGGCAGGGCATCCTTTGTGAAGCAGCCAACACCGGCAGCTGAGGCTCCAGCGACTGCTCCCCTCTTGGGTGCCACTCCCTAGACCACGCCTGGCACTAACCTGCCCTCTCTCTTGCTCGGGCACCAGCTGCTCTTCCCCTGGGCAGAAATCACAGCACCTTTCGTCTGGCCAGTTAATACGACAATTAGCTCTGGGCAGCACTAGGATAGGGCAAGCGACCATCCTGGAATCACGGAATCATATAGAATCACAGAGCGGGAAGGGTTCCTCAGAGGCCATCTAGTCCAGCCCCCTGCTCAATGCAGGATCAGCCTTAGAGCATCCCTGACGAGGGTTTGTCCAGCCGCTGCTTAAAGACTGCCAGGGAGAGGGAGTTCACCACCACCTCCCCAGGCAGGCAATTTCACTGTTGCGCAACTCTGACCGGTACTTTCCTGCCCTTCATTTAAACCTATTCCTGCAAGTCCTCTCCTCTGCTGCCAACAGGAACAGCTCCCTGCCCTCCTCTGAGTGACACCGCCCTTCAGATACTTCAAGAGAACAATCATATTCCCCCTCCACCTCCTTTTCTCCAGACTGAACCTTCCCAGGTCCCTCAGCTTTTCCTCATTGGGCTTGGTCTCCAGGCCCCTGATCATCCTCGTCGCTCTCCTCTGCACCCACTCCCTTCTGTCCACATCCCTTTTGAAGTGAGGCCTCCAGATCTGCACACAGTACCTCAGGTGTGCCCTGACCAAGGCAGTGTACAGCGGGACTAGGACATCTTGCAATTTGGATGTTATACTTCTGTTGATACACCCCAAGATCGCATTAGCCTTTTTTGTTGCCGCAGCACACTGGCTGCTCATATTTAACTTACAGTCCACCCTAACCCCAAGACCTTCTTCACACACACTGCTACTCAGAAGAGTATCCCACATCAAGTATGTGTGTTCCTCATTTTTGCTACCCAGATGTTGAACTCGGCACTTATCCTTGTTAAATTGCATCTCGTCCACATCCGCCCACCTTTCCAATGTGTTCAGATCTCGCTGAATTCTGTCTCTATCTTCTGGTGTGTTTGCTGCTCCTCCCAATTTAGTGTCATCTGCAGATTTAATGAGTATCCCCTCCACACCCTCATCCAGATAATTCATAAAAATATTGAAAAGTACTGGGCCCAGAACCGAGCCCTGTGGCACCCCACTGGACACCTGCCTCCAGGGGTCATTTCCTGCAGGAGCGCACAGGAGCGGAGCTCCGGCAGTAAACATGCAACAAACCCCACCCCCTGCTCCCAGCAGCCCTCAGTCAGAGCAAGAAGCAGCCAGGTAAGTTGCAGAGCCAACAGGTCCACAGCAGTCCAGTGGCACCTTTAAGACCAAGTTTTATTCAGGTACAAGCTCTCCCTCCTCTGCGAGGACAGATCTGCATGTTCCCCTCCCCGCCATAGCTAGCAATCCAAAACAGTCCAGTGGAGCCTGAGCTCCCTGCCCTCCTCCAAGTGACACAGCCCTTCAGATGTTCTCTCCTTCCTGCAGTCCTCTCCTCCTTTGCACTTGAGATCCGATTCTTGCCCCGCAAAAGGTCCCGGGCTGGCCCTGAACATTTGTTCCCACCATACCCAGGCGCAGGGGAAAGAGCCCCTTCCAGCCCCCGCCAGGAGCTCACCGCCAGCCAGATCGGCTGGTGGGAAACGTAACCTGTCTGCTCCGCACCGGAGAGACAGACGGCCCGCACTTCCCCGTGCCTCCCACACACGCTTGGCCAGAAGCTGCCGCTGAGCCAGCTATGATTAGCGCCCACAGGAAGAGGATGCGAGCGTTCTGCTTATAGATCCTCCTCGAGCTATATCGAGCCCGGCCCTTCTTGAAAGCACAACAGAACAGGGGGAGGGGAAAAGACAGGACTGAAGATTTTAGATTAATGCGAGGAATGCAGCCAAGTGACAAATTCAGGTGGAATAGCCCCGTGTTGGCCTGAAGCGGCTGAACAAAGTTTTGGAGTCCAGGGGGCACCTTTAAGACCAACAAAGTTTTATTCTGGCTAGAAGCTTCATGTGCAGGCACACAAAAGCTTATATCTTGAATAAAACTCTGTTGGTCTTAAAGATAGTAAAAAGCCCAGTAGCTCCTTTAAGACTAACAAACTTTGGCATATCCATAAGCTTTCTGAAAAACACAGCTCTCTACGTCAGATGCATCTGACGAGGAGAGCTGTGTTTCTCAAAAGCTTCCGCTA